GAACTCACTATCTCTTTTCCGATTGCGTACGTACAGTGAATTTTCGAAATCAGCGCCTGTGACGTCATGCGGTGCAGATTATACAATAATCATGTCAAGGACACTCATGGTCACGGGTAATCATGTAATGTACGACCGCGGTGAATGATTTCTAAGGGTAATCATGTCAAGTTCGCGCGCTTTGTTGCTTTCCGTCAGTGAAAAAGCACAAAATGCATAATAAAACAATTATTAGATTCGGTTTTTGTGATATCCAGAATAATCAAGGTAGAGGTAGGGTTTATCAGCCGAAGCCGAAGGCTGAGACTGATAACCCTTACCGAGACCTTGATTATTCTGGATATCACAAAAACCTCACCCAATAATTGTTTAAAATTGCTCGATCAAGTCATGCAACTGTTAGGGAAATGTAGTAATCTGCACTTTTCTATTAATGGGCTGTTGGAAAGTGTGAGAGCGTACTTGAATGAAAGTTTCAAATCTTGCATCAAAAAACGACAGGTGACTTGACTGTCTTTAAAACTGTTTGCTTTATTTCACCTTGACATTTTTAGGGTAACTCTTCGTCGATACAAGCCACTTTTTTCAGTTCAGTATATATTTTTTTATTACATTCAAATGTATTATTTCGTTATTCGACTGTGAAAAAACGCACTATTATTTATTTATTCAACGTAATGGTGACGCCTCCATCGGTAGAATCAGAAAACTAGAGGCTCTTAAACAATCTTTAATTTTGGTTTGTTGGTGCGTATGTCAATGTCTTTTCACCTGTGAGTCCAGCAAAGAGAAATTGTACCCGTTTGTGAAAGTGGACGCTTGTCCAAATTTTGTATCTACCACTGTTACTTCAAAGGAAGCCCTGGGAACGAGGCTGCGTTTCTCCATGTAAAAATTGCTGCAGTGAAAATCTAGATGCCAAAGTGATCTGTTAGTGAAGCAGTAACTCCTCATAAATGACCGTTGCCTGAACGTTCGGTTACTATTAAATAGTCTTGGCATCTTCATTTTAAACGTATGACGATCTATGACGGTATAATTCTGCTCATGCGCAGTCTCAATAAAGATATATTGCTGTAGAGAACGTAAGCGATTTTCATTCATCCTCCTTTCTGACATCCTAGCCTCTTTCGCATATCACTTCAATCACCTGTGGAGTTAAATTTAACGTTTTCTGTTCAAAATCCAAAGACAAAGAAGAGTCAAGCCAAGTGTAGTTTTGTTTTTCTGCACTGTTTTTTTTAAGCCCATCAATAACTATTTATTCCAAACGGTCACAAATGCCTGAACATTCTTGTACCCAGAGCCTCTCCCTCTTAGCTGGCGGGGCCTAGGCACGAGGAAAATGTGGCTCTGGAGACTCATGATTTGATTGGCTAGATCCTTGGAGTTGTTTTCCTTCCCTTAAATATTACGGGTTGATTTCTAATTAAAACCATTCGATCACCATCTACAAAAGACCTTAGGGAAGTTTAAAAGTGGCTTAAGGGGAGAATTTTCCATGAATTCTGTGTTCCCCCCTTGTTTGGTATTGGTTAGGGTCTGTAGGTACTGCGACCAAAGGGTTTTAGTATATACTCTATCTACAGAGCCACATTTTCCTTGTGTCTAGTCCCCGCCAGCTAAGAGGGACAGGCGGCTCTGGGGACGTGCTCGTGCCAAATATAGAAAACGGACCAAAACCATGTTGACGTTATAACTCACAGACCTATTCAACAAATCATATGGTCACGATTTTTACGGTTCCTAGTCGAGTCCTGTTTAAGACAAAGAACCATAGTCTATCTCTCAGAACATTCTCCTATTTTCAAACAACTCAACGCTTTCGTCTCTTGGAAAGTTATTCCTTGTCACACATGGAATAACACAAAAACAAGTGATTACTGCCTACTCACACTGGGTTCCATAAGTTCTGGCGAGAGGCATCTGTTGACAGTACTGTTAACAACTTCTTCCAACATAAAGTGAACCAAACTAGTGCGAAAGATAGCGAACAAGTTAAAAAACAAACAGAAACAAACGACAGCATTTTGTGGGGGTCAGATGGGCACTGTAAGTGAGAGGTGGGCTAATAATTTAAGTGCTAGCTGAGGTGTTTGTGTTGTGTCCTTGGGCACGAAAGAAGGGTAAAAGGGTACCAATGTCCCAAAAAGCTTCCAATGGGTTACCATTCTATACTGGGTGAGCAGTAGGCTCCCAAAGGGCTTAAAAGGACTCTAAAAAGGTATGGACACAACACAAGGAATGGTCCGAGGAATAACGCTAAACCCTACTTAATGGTGGAAAGAAAATCTGTCCTTACTTCTCGTCAGAAACGAATCTCCATAAGTACATCTGTAGGTAGTGTGTGTCCACTTGGATCTGTTGCAAACCGTATTTTCCAAACGTCCTAAGCCGTACACACTCTAGAAGAGTCTAGAACGAAAAGAAAAAAAGGAAACAAAAAGAAATTGTTACCCTCAAAAAATCGACCTAAAACATCAAATCAATCAAGATTAAGTTCTTGAATTAAGGCCGAATACAGGGTTTAAATTTAGGGGGTTTTTTCAGAAAAAAGGAGAAAAACCGAAAAATATTCCATACTTTTCTTTATAACGTTCGGCTAATTTGAAACTAATACTTAACGCTACTTTCGGAACAAGAGGATTGATATGGGTTGTTGGGCCAACATTGATTTGTGTCAAGTTTGGCCTGCTCACGTATCCTTGAGATCTTCAACATACCTTTAATCCTATTTTGACAATCCCCGTTAACACGGACACCTTGGAGAATTCCACTGAGCTGAAGATTTCGATTCTTTCCGAGAACAACTTCTGAATGTTACTGAGTAGACTAGAGTCGAACGCCGTGCTGAGTGAAACAGAAAAGAGCAGATGAACTCCTCAAAGAGAGATCAACTCCTAGTTTCTCCTCACGACATACAATGTATTGTTAAATAGTCAGGTGAGGAGAATAAAGAAAATCGTCATCTACGATATATTGCCTTAATGCACAGGTACAGTAAGAGGAATGGATGGATTCAGTTAAAATGTGGTGTAAAGGTTGGTAGACTATTCCCCTTGAGGTCACTCAATACTAGACATTAAAGCACATCTCAAATGAAAGATCTCGGTTCATATACAGCCCTGGACCAGGGTTAGGCAACTTTGGCGTTCCTTAGTAGTGGTTGCAGGTGTTATCTTCTATATAAACGATCATTAGGATTGTCACGCAATCTTATCTTGCTAAAGACAAAATACTGCGTGATGAGACGGTGTTATCTCCCTTAAACACTGCGTGATTCTTCCCTCGTCAGTCATAAGACTGGAAAGATTGCATGACAAGCCTGAGTAATGTCATCCAATAACGAGTCACGCCAGAAGATCACAATTCAGGCAGGCCACGAGAAAAAGATAGTAACGTCAGTCTCTATTAGTTACCTTGCAGTGTAACTCCACTGGTTCCGGCTTGGTTTGGATGGATAAGTGTAGGTGAATTTACTAGAGTCTGCAATACAAAAAGAGACAGTATTGTACCCTCAGCTGGGATATACTGGCATCTCAGTTAATGTTGTGAACGTGACAAAAATAAAATACAGATTTTGCGTGACAAATCATTTTTGTGCCATAAAAGCGTGACCATTTGGGTGTTCCCGCTACTTTTTCATTGGCTAAAAACAATAGGAAACTCTTCGGGTGTTTCAGAGATGATTTGCCTAAATGTGCACTCGTTCGTTGACTGAGTACATCTTCCTAATAAACACGGACAGTCGGTTTTTCTAAGGACAAACCTGAACTGTGAGCTTTGCGCACTCCCTCCTCGTACAACTGACCAACTTGTGTATCAATGGCTGTCACGTCTTCCACGATGCGTTTCATAACAGCGCGGACATTCCTCGGTTCAATGGTGTTCAGCCAGTCTCGTGTTTCCACGCTCTTGCGGATCATCTGTGTCAAGAAAGAAGATAACAAACTAAGTAAGTGAGCCAAATGAGCCTTTATACAACGGATGCTTTCCATTTACCAAAAAGTCCGGAAATTTCGGACGGAAGTCAAATGGAAACGTCCGTTTCGATTTGTTCCGACAGGAACATTTGGGACCACTCCTGAAGGTGGCCCACTTTGATCGGTCAGACCGGTCGGAACGAAATATGCCTCTCCATTATAACAAACCGGTTCGTTGCCCTACTTTTCTTCAGTATATTTTCACTCGTGTGTGGGACTGGAGAAAGGAATAGAAAATGGCAAGAGCAATTCCTCTCGGTTGGCCCGGTTTGATCGGAAAATGTCGTTCCATTTTTCCTTCGTTAGTTCCACTGGTCTCTGGTCGGTCGGTCTGGAAAGCACCCAACATTTCCGAGTGTTGTGCTGGAACGGATGAGATCTGGGCTAACGCTCGAAAACGTCAACTGATTAAATCTAATGCATAAAAGTTTCTAGAAAGGTAAATCTAATACATACCTGGGAAATGGTCAGTCCTTGCAACCGAACGTAATGATTCAATAAGCACTGTTGAAAAGGACAACGAAGAGACTTCAATATGACTTGATATCGACAATAATCAAGCCTCTGTGTAGTCTGTCCACAGAACCTCTATTTTGTCTTGAGTTCGTCGAGATCGCAAGATTAGATATTAACCCGTCGCGTGGGATATGAACGAGCCAAAACGCAAGTGGGTGAGGCTGGGGAAAGACATCGCTCGCGCGCTCGAAGAAGAATAACTCGTAGCAAAAAAGTATAAACGTCTGTGGACAGACTATCCTATTTGTGGGAAGTATAGAATGATAAAGGCCTCTGGACTCTTCCAGTGAAAATGTGTTCTTGGGAGTAGCAGAAAGTGTGCCGCCACTTACTCCTTACAATGCTGCTTAATATTTTCATAAGGAGCCCTGTTTTGATACAATGATGAATAAATCCATCCAGAGACCAGAATTTTAAAACCATATTAATCAATACTGAACTTTGGAGAGAAAGGTTTACAAAATATCTCACACATAAGTACACATAGTTACCTGCGATATTTGTCGGGCCTCAGTGGCGAGATCTGACACGGACGTTGTCAGGCTTCCTCGTCCCAGCTCCTCGTCGACCGGAAATTGTTCGTCAGTAAGACTTAACTGGGCGGAAAGGAAAGAGAAAAAAAAGCTGTGAGTGGCTACAGAATCACGAAACTAACAAGGGCACACTGCTACGCTACACACTAGCTATCACAGAATAGATGGTGAGTAGCGTAGCCAATCAGAGAACGGCAGTCGTGATAGAACGCTAGCAGATTTATACTAAAACAGGATAGATAGTCAGTAGCGTAGCCAATCAGAGAACGTCGTTCTTGATAGAACGGTAGTACACTTGAAGATAAATCCTGGTTCACAGTAAAAACATTTGCATTCCGTCAGTTATCACTGCAGGAAATTGGCTGTGAAGTGGGGATAGGGGCTAATCCTGCTGGCTTGATGAGAGTATTTTAGGGTATGTTCAGCCATCAGTATCTTTTAAAGCTTGACCCAATTATCAATTGTGCAGTGCAGTATAGATAATGGAGATTCCACTGAAGATAAAGATAGTAATTACGCAAGAAACGCAATAAGAATAGACCCAAAGCCCCGTTGACGCAAGGATCTTATTTCGCAACCATGTTGTTTTTGGAGATCAGCTAGACAGTGATGGCAGCCGATATTTTCTCTCAGGGTCACTTAGACAAGTGTATAGCGATCGGCGAACGCGAAAGGGCAGTACGGACGAGTAGAGGGGTCTCGTCTCGCCTCATTCCCCGCTGAATTTCGAGAGAAAAACAGATTGCCAGCAGTCAAGAGATCAACAAGACTCATGATTAATGTTCTTAATTTTGTGAGCCATAAGAAGATATCAGTAGTAAGCCAGTACATACCACATAAGAGATGGTTGACTCTTGAAAATCAAGACATAACCTCGATAACAAAAGAATGAGAGCGGGTGGAGCTGTTCCAGAATCACAGAACTCCTGAGAAAGAAAACAGAAAGTAAATCAGTCTTCTACTGAGCCACACGATACAATGTGTAGTAAAAAAAGAGACATTCTGAACAGTGTTCGAAGTGAACTCGTTAGGTTATGAAGTCATATGGTATAGTAGGCCGTGGGCAATAAGAGAGTTAGAATTATTCGTAATGTTTATTTAACAAATAAAGAAGCCTAAGCCGTGTATTACACNACACGGCTTAGGCTTCTTCATTTGCTTTATGATATAGAGGTAGTGTGGCAAAAAACATTAAAACAGGCTTTTTTTATGTTTCATATTCTGATAAAACATGGGTTTTTGACCAATCAGAGCGCGCGCAGGGTCCTATCTATATTATAAATGGAGTTGCTAATAAAAGCGATACATGTACAGTGTTCTACACGTTCGGTCACATGACGCGATGAGTGCTCTCATTCGCTCGACACTGACCTTAGCCGATTGCAGTACGTGACGTATAAACTCCACGACCAGGCCCTCTCGGACATCATCGGAACAGAAAGGTCCTCGGAAGTATGGTTTGACAGCAAATGTGATGTCAGATCCAATGAAAGTCTGGAACAAAGTCGACATAGAGAATGGTGTGATTATGTAATGTGATTGGATTTCTGGCTAATCAGTTCCTGGATATTTTCAGCCTCAGTTTTCAAGCCTGCTGTTGAATGGTTACCTTACCTGTCTGATTTATATTTCGGCTCGAATTTACATGTATATACCACTCGTCATCTTTACCAGCGCATCGAAGAGCACAGAGCCTCTGCTATTGGCAACTGAGCACTTAACACATGACCCCGGTCTCAAGTCCCCTGACCTGTCTAACATGTTTTCCGTGTTTAAAAAAGTCCCAAGGAAAACTGGACCGGTGTTTAACTCACGAAATGCTTTTCATTCGTGAAAGAAAACCAATACTCAACACACAGGCGGACTCAACTCGTGCGAAAGTATTCATTCAGTAAGTTTATTCGGCACGTTTAACTATTGACACCTAAGAACTCTTAATTGGACTGTGTTACACTTCAATATAATTCTTTCACCTTTTTCGCTATAAAATGACATCTCGACCGTTATTTTCTTTTCTCTACTTGATAATGGAGTCAAGTAATAATGCAGTTATTAGTCTACTTTTTGTGATCAACTGTATTTCGAAATGTTTTGTTATCGAATGGGATATCCTTGCCTATGCTTACACTCGCAGTTTTAGTTTGTATAAGTAAAGGGCTGCAGACACTAAATAACCAACTGCACTAACCTTCAGGCTGTTCAGAATCAACTTCAGCTGGTTAGTAAGAGAGTTGGTCATTGTAGACAACAGCTCAGACAGGGAAGGTGGCTTCTCATTTCCTGACGGGGTTGCGAGGGACTGTCTGATATCTGTTAAACAGACTAAATACACAGGAACGTCACTCAGCTGGTTTAAAAGCTGTTATTTATGCTATAATGGAAACCAAATTCTCAACCCATCTCAGTCGCATCTTTCCGCGAAATTGTACATCAGATTGGATTACACAAATATACCATAAATTGGACAAATTTGTTGTGAGACATCATGGTGTTGTCGCGAACTTTACAGTAGAACCGTTGCATCACTAGCTTGCCGGTGCAATGTTCCTGGCAGCTTATCCCAACTTCGAGTAGTAAGTTCCAACACAATGAAAATGTTCCAACACAGCCCAACTCAACTCCGCTCGCGTTCATTGCTAAGGGCTTCCAAGCCTTACCATAGACTGTAACAGAATACTGATTGGAGATTACTTACCAGCAAAGTGCTGTCGAAGATTCTTAGCGTAAACATTCACTCTGTTATGCGCGGACCGGGCCACAATGTTTGCTCCCGAACTAGCAAAAGATAAATTACGTTTAACTTTTTAAAAAATAAAAGAAATCAGAAACGCTGTTACGTTATTGATGTGATCGAGGGAACGAAGATTCTGACAATCTCAGGAAAAATGTCGTTGATCAGGAGTCAATTTTTCTAAAGGTAACTTTAAAAAAACGTGGCGTTTGAAAAATATATGACGTGGAACTTCAATGGAGAGCTGCGTATATGCGCTAGTGAAAACCAGTCTTCACTTACAAATATACTTGTACCAAAAAAGAGGCAACCTACCGTCCCACGCCAATCCCTGGCAAAAGTTTCTGAACTGCTTGAAGTCTGCGGTGAAAGCGGTCCAGTGCTCGTACCAAAAGAACGTTATCACCAGTATCAGACTAAAGAGGCAGAAGACCATTATTGTGAGTGCTAGCCTCGTTCCCGGTACCTTTCTAAGGCCCGCTCATTTACAATAAGTTTTTCCAAACTGTACAAGTTAACTTGACCAACATGGGTTGGTGCGAGGCCAAAAGAGCGGCTCAAGACCAACAGAAGTTGAAGGCAAAAGTGAACGCCCTATGGCGTCCCCCCCCCCCCCCCCCCCCCCNCCCCGCCCCAACTGTCACCTCATGGGACAAAGACGACTAGATGGTGATGACAGCTAACTTACAAGGGTCAGAGCCTGTTTACTTTCCGTATTTTGGAGTATTTCACAATGATTCTCGACTGGCAGACTACACACCTCTAGTTCAATCCTGGCTTCTATTAGTTTAAAATATTCATTCATCAAGGATAGAATAAAAGTGGACAGTTTCTCAGTCACAATCTTGTCCAGTTCTTGTTGATCTTGACCATGCCTTGCAGGAGATGAAGAGGGAAGTTACAAAAATATAGCTACACAATGA